ACCCCGTTCCCCGCAGCCCTGCCGCCCACCTCAAAGTCTCCCCTGTGGGCACCTCAGTCCTCACGCTGCCTGGGGTAGGGGTTCCAGCAGGACTTGAGCTCCCCGGGTTCAAACCCCCACTCTGCCACCACCGGTGTGCAAGCCACCTCGCTCCTGTGCGGCTGTGAGAGTGAACCGAGCTATGCACGCACCCCAGGACACGGTACTTCTAGTTTCCCTCCTTGCTGCGGGCCCTGCGTGCGAGGCGGGCCCGGCGTGGGCCTGCGTGCAGGGCGGGCCCTGGAGAACTTGGTGAGATTGGAGGAGGCCGGGCAGTGGCTGGCTCACTCCACGCCTCCGTGGGCTCCTCTTCTCTTTCCCGGGCCCTGCCCCACTCCCGCCAGGCCATGAGGCTGGTTGCTGGGCAGCCCATCGGGGACTCTGGTGGGCACAGGAGAGAGCCCTACCTTTATTTCGGGCCCCGCCCAGCAAGTGCTGCCCACAGCTGCTGACCGCCCTGGAGGCAGGCACCAGGACCCCTTTTACCCAATGAGGAAACAGCCTCAGAGAGGGAGGTCACCTGCTGAGGGCTGCACAGTTGGGAAGAAGTTGCACAGCAGGATTTGAACCCAGGCCCCACGCACAGGGCAGGGTCGGTCTGTGAAACCCCCAGGCAGAGGCATTTCCCAGCATACCTGGCGAGGATGCAGCAGGGCCCCAGCACCTGGGCAGTGCAGGGCAGTAGCCAGACCCCAGTGGGCAGTTCTGAGTTCTAATCTCGACTCTGCCCTGTTTGCAAGGAGACCTCTCTGAGCCTCAGTTTCCTCATCTGTTAAATGGGATATTTACTAGTAGTCCATCAGATTGCCATTAGGATCAAATGCCACAATGTCAGAGGCATTAGCTCCTTGGGTCCAGGACACGGAGTGTGGGGGGGCAGGGAACCCCCAGCCTGGCTTCTACAGTGGTCACATCTGAGAGTGGGCAACACAGACCCTTCACCTGGATGGGAACAAAAAGGAACAAAATAACTGCAGATAGAAAACTGCTACTCCCTCATCTGCTCAACAAAACAATTGTTGAGCACCTACTGTGTACTGGGCATCGTCTGAACACTGAGTTCACAGCAGAGGACATGTGGACACAAATCCCTCTTCTAGGGGAGACAGATCCTACACTAAAACAGAAGCTTCTTGCAGATGATCAGTGTTATGGGGGAGAAATGAAGCTGGGGAGGGTGGAGGGAAGTGCCAGGAGCAGGGGAGGGGCTTGCGGTGTTCCATAGGGGTGGCTACAGGGACAGCCTCGCAGAGAAGGGGACATTTAAGCCAACACTTGAAGGAGGGGAGGGAGAAGGTCAGGTGCAGGCAGGGGAACAGCAAGTGCAAAGGCCCTGGGGTGGAAGTTGTGTCTGGCGTGTCCATGCTGAAATGCATGTTCAGGGTCTGGGATGAGGTGCGATGGGGAGGGGGTGGCCTCTTTGAGGAGGTGACATCTAAGCTTTGCGTGGGGACAAGAATGTCCTGGGCAGAGAGAACAGCACGGACGAAGGCTCCCAGACAAGAATGAGCTGCATGTGTTTAAGCAGCAGTAGGGAGCCAGGGGCATGGTAGGGGGGAGGCTGCAGCAGTGGGCGGGAAGGCGGGTGGTGCCTGAGCCCAGAGGGGGCGGTGGAGGGTGGGCAGGGACTGGGCTCTGAGACAGTCCCTCTGCCCCACCCCGCCAGGAGGCTTTCCTTCAAGGGCACGTCCTCAGAGGAGCACGTGCGGGAGGCCAGCCTGGGGCTGCTGATGGGCTACCTGGGGCCTATCGTGGACGCCATCGTGGGCTCCGTGGGGCGCTGCCCGCCTGCCATGCGCCTGGCCTTCAAGCAGCTGCATCGGCGTGTGGAGGAGCGCTTCCCCCAGGACGAGCATAAGGTGGGCCGGGAGCTCCCCGTGGGCAGATGGGGAGACTGAGGTCGGGGCGGGCAGTCGCTTGTCCAGGGTCACGTGGGAGGCAGGGCAGAGGCAGGCAGAAACCGGGCTGCCACGCTGAAGTGCTCTGTGGCCCATCCCTGGAGCTGGGGTGAAGAGCTCCCCACTTCCTGTTTACAGATGGGGAAACTGAGGCCCAGAGGGCAAAGAGCCTGGGCCTCCAGACTCCCAGCGGGGTGTCTCCTTTCTCTCGCTCAGTCCCGGCTGAGGAGTGGCCTCCAGACTGGGATGTGGCTTGCCTTACGCCCCACTTTGCTGGGCTCTGCTAGGGCTGCCAGCAGAGGTGCTAAGTGGGACACGGGCAGGGAGGCGGGAGGGAAGGGAGGCCAGCTCCCCAGACGTTCTGACCCCTGACCCTTGCGGGTGGAGCCAATATCGTGACACCCAAGTGTCCCCAGTTCTCAGCCCCCACAGTGGAAAGGCCTTGGGCCCGGAGCAGGGACTTTTTCAGGCCCACAGGTCTGGATGGGGTCAGGGGAGCCCCTTTCTCTGTCTCTCTGACACCTGTTCCTCCTTCTCAAAAAGGAGGAAGTCACGTGCTGATGTCAAAGGCTAAAATTACCCTTGAACGTGGTGGGCGGGGGCGGTGAGGGGGGGTGCAGTTCAGGGTTCCAGAGGAGGGAGGGAGGGGCAGCTCCAGGTCCCAGCCCCTGGCAGGGCTCACGGTGGCCAGGGAGTTGGCACCCACCAGGGCGGGCATTGTCTCCGGTGTGAACACAGCCCCTACATAAACTCCGGAAACACTCTGGGGCTAAATATAGCCCGAGTAGGAGAGGCGAGTGGGGAGTGGCTTGGGGGGAGCCAGATGTACCCAGGATGGAGACACACCCTCTGCGGTGCTGAGGGAACTAGCCTCACCTGCGGCAGGGGGGTGGGAGTGGGGGGGAGGGGAGTGTGTGTGCGGGGAGGCACCATGCTTTACCGTTTGTATAGGGCAGAGGCTGGGGCTGCGGGTGCACACGGGACAGGCTCTGGAGCCTCAGTTTCCTCATCTAGAAAAAGGAGAGAATAGTTTCTGCCCCATGGGATGTTTGAAGGTTAGATGTGATAGTTCAGGCTCAGTTCCTGACTAAGTGAGCGCTCCCCAGTAGCTAGTGTCGAATGCAAGAGAGCGTGGTGGAGAGCTGAGAGTTCAAACCCTGCCTGGGCTCCGTCTTGTTCTGCCACTTACTCCTGAGCGGCCTTGAGCAAGTGGCCCTCCCTCTCTGGGCTTCAATCGCCTCCTCTGTAAAATGGGGGTGTAATACCACCTGGGGGAGTATTAAATAAACAAATGTATGGAGAAGTGCCTGGCCTGTTGCTATTCACTATCAAAAATCACTAGTGGCCTGGTGCACGGATTTGTGCACATTGAAAGGAAATTAATTAAAAGGTGGCCTGTGGGGCGGGACTGGGCTAGACGGGCTGGACATGCCCTGGAGCTAACCTCCCTCAGTCCCTCCCCCATCTCAGGTGATGCACCCCAGAACCGCAGCTGCCAAGTCACTGCAGCTAGGCAGCTCCTGCGTTGAGCATCTGCCCCCTGGTGGTCGGGTGGTTGGATGGTCGCTTAGCCTTTTATATATATAGATAGATCTGGGATTGAATCCTGCCTCCGTTGCTCACCAGCTGTGTGACCTTGGGCAAGTCAATTGACATCTCCGAGCTTCTGCTTCCTCATCTGTAAAATGGGAATAATGACAATGCTCCCATCATAAGACGCGACCTTAGCAGACTCTGAGGGTGTTGGCTACATCTGATTGTGCAGAATTGGTATTCTTACTTCATTTTCCAGATGGAAACACTGAGGCTCCAAAAGGAGAAGCCTCCTTGACAGACAGGGTGGCCTTCTGACCCATCTCCCATTTCACTTCCTCAGTTTCCACAACGGGGAGCGGGGAGATAGGTCTGGGGGGTGGGGCTCTCACCTGCTGCGTCTCTTGGCAGGACGTCAAGTACCTGGCCATAAGTGGCTTCCTCTTCCTGCGATTCTTTGCACCTGCCATCCTCACCCCGAAGCTGTTTGACCTCCGGGACCATCACGCAGACCCCCAGACCGGCCGCTCACTGCTGCTGCTTGCCAAGGTGCCGGCACTGGAGGGCCCATCCTGGGGGTGCTGAGCGAGGGGAAAGCATGTGGGAACAGAGTGGGGAGGCCAGGCCTGCAGGAGACCCAAATGAAACCCAGAAACACCCGTCTGAAACACCACCATTAGCTCTCATCCCGAGGGTGAAGGCATCCATTATACTCTCTGATTTCCTCTTCTGAAACAAAGACCTACTCTTCCAGGAGGAAAGTGGGAAGCAGGCTAGTAGTCCTTTACACCTTAGTATGAATTAGACCGTCCTCGGCCAAGTGGCCACATTTTGAGGTTCTGATGGGCGCCAGACATGTATGATAGGATCAGGCAATCCTGGGTGTGGGACCTGGGCTCAGGAGGGAACAGAATAATAAGGGCTCTGGGGGTGTATGTCTGTCCACAAGGAGGGACAGATACTGCCCAGAGGAGGTGCTGCTATGAGACTTCTTCTTTGAATACTGACGGGGGAGCCAGGACGCTGGGACTCTGTTCTGGGTCCACAGAGGGCTCCGCCCCTGCAGTGACCTTGTCCCTGGAATCCCCTGCTTCTTTGCTCCAGGCTGTGCAGAGCATCGGGAACCTGGGCCAGCAGCTGGGCCAGGGCAAGGAGCTGTGGATGGCCCCCCTGCACCCCTTCCTGCTGCAGAGCATCTTACGTGTGAGAGACTTCCTGGACCAGCTGGTGGACGTGGATGGGGAGGAGGGTGAGTTCCGGTGGCCCTGTCACGTCTGGCTTGTCACTCCCCTAGACCCTTGGGACTTGCCCTCCCTCTACCCCTCCCCCACCCATAGCACTGAGCCTGTGGACCTGTGCGTCAGCGAGTCAGTCAGCTAACATTTCCTGGCACCTACTGTGCCATTCCAGCCAATGTGGAGATGCAGGTGGGGATTGTGGCATGGTGTTCATGCAATAGACAAATATCTATTAAGTGCCTACTATGTAATAGGCACTGGCCCATGAGCTGGGGAAACAGCAGTGAGCAAGACAGAAGAAAGCCCTGCTTTTGTGGAAGTTTTATTCCAGTGGAGACAACAAGCTGTAAATAAGATGATTCAGCAAATCATGGTGTTAGGCAGTGACAAGTGCCAAGGAGAAAGAGTAAAGGAGGGAAGGGAAGGGAATGTTGGAGTCGGGGTGGCCAGAAGTAGTCTCGCTAGAGTAAAAGTTAAACCCTGAAAGAGGACAGAGAGCAAGCCGTGAGGATCCTGGGGAAGAGTTCCAGGCCGGGAACAGCATGTGCAAAGGCCCTGAGGTGGGGACAGAGAGTAGCAGTGAGGAGGCCAGTGAAGAAGAGTGAATGGGGGCGAGGTGGAGGGGGGAGCGAAGGAGAGGTGAGGGGTCAGGTTGCGTGGGGCTTTGTAGGCAGCGGGAAGGATTTTGGCTTTGACTTAGAGTGAAATGGAGCCGCAGGGCAGTTTTAAGCGGAGTTGGGGTTGAGTCCACATCACAATGTTGGGCCCAGGTCACGAGAGAGTTGGGTTGAAGTCGCATAGGAGCAACCTGTTGAAATGCAGAGCCCCGCCCCGTGTGGCTGGAGGGGTCCCTGTGATGCTGGGGAGGAGCCTGTGTCGGGCTCCCAGAGAGTGGCTTGATCTCAGGCACTCCCTGGACTGACTCTGTACGGCATGGCTCCCCCTGCTGGCTGCCTGCGACACTACCTGCAGGTCCCTCGGTAGAGAGGAATCAAGGCCGGTCTGTGCTCCCTGCCCGCCATCAGTGACACCCTTCCCTATGGAGGGAGTGGACTCCACGGGAACAGAGAATCATGCTCATCCCCAGGCCCTGGCCACGCGGAGCCTGGATGGGAAGGTTCACTGTCCCCTCCCCTTTCCCCAGAGGCTGGGGGCCCGGCCAGGGCCCTGGTCCCGCCCTCCGTGACGGTCCGAGAAGGCTACCTGCTGAAGCGCAAGGAGGAGCCCGCCAGCCTGGCCACACGCTTTGCCTTCAAGAAGCGCTACTTCTGGCTCAGCGGGGAGACCCTCTCCTACGCCAAGAGTCCCGACTGGCAGGTGGGCCTGCCGTCCACCATGGAGGCGCTGCCAGTGGCGGCCCCTCACAGAGCGGCCTCAGCACCCGAGGCCTTGCCCAAGGCCCTAGAGCAACTTGGCAAATTCCCATTCTCAGGCCAGGCTCTGCTCACAGGTGTGAGGGCCCAGGCCAGGGACCGGCCTCCACCTACACACACTCCCCAGCAAACGCCCTTCAGAATGTGCGCTCCCTGCAGACATACCCTCCCCGATGTGGACGGGCGACAATGACGATACTCAAGCACCTGTTCCCAGCCAGATCTCTGCCCACGTACCATGGGCACTCGCGTCAAATGCTCACGGAGAGGTCCTGCCCGGCTTCAGGGCACACACATCGGGCATTCGTTCACTCCCATTCATTCCTTAAACGTGCATTGTGTTCCTGCTCCACCCGGGGCAGTGTGCTAGGTGTGGACGGGGCATACAGCAGCAAACAAGACAGAAGCCCCGTTCCCATGGGGCTGCCATTCCAGTCCAGCACAAACACACACACACACTGGGTCCACCCACGTCTGTGTACGCAACATACACAACAGCTAACAGCGGAGAGGGTGCCGACTGGGTGTGTCTACTTGGTCAGCAGAGCGTAGATTCTAGAGTTCACCTCCTTGGGTTCCAATTCTGGCGCCACTGGGTGAATTGCCTCTTGGGCCTCAGTTTCCTCATCTGCACAATGGGGAGAATAACGGGCCCAGCCGCAGGGATGTGTTGGGATGAGGAAACAAGGTGGTAACTGTGAAGGGCTTAGAACCACAGCCCAAGTGCCATGTTGGGGGGGAGGAGGAGGAGGATGGTAGTGATGGTGGAAATTGAATGCCCAGAGAAGTTGTCACTTAGAGTGTAGGCCCTACACTGTAGGGCGCCATGGAACCGCTGAGTGGGGATGCGCACAGATCACAGACACACGAGGTCGAATGTCCCCACCTCCGGGGACACCACG